CGGTACTGCGCAGCCGCGGCTCGGGCACGCGCTGCGCCGGCGCGGCCGCAGGGGGGCAGCACCTGTCCGCGCTCAGCTCCGCCGGGGGCGTGGCGCGTGGCGAGCTCCGCCAGGTCCCCCACCGCCTCAGCTCACGGGTGACAGGTTAATCTACTTTAATGCAGTATTTCCCCATCTATATCATTACCACTTAGGGTGTTAATACTCCACATACCCCAGGGTGGAACCCGGGACCAGTATTTTAACAAACTCCCCAGGCGGTCTGCTCTGTAACTGCGGTCAACATCTACCTTAAGCCGGCTGGAAGAGGGCAAAGAATGTCCCAATTTGCTTTCATTTTGAGTGCCACTGGGGGTTAGCCTACCCGGGCTCAAATTATTTAGCACCTCTGGGTCTTTACATTCTCATCTGAAATGATAGAAATAGTACCTACACCTCATAGAATTGTCCTAAGAATGAAGAGTGCAAATCTAATACATAAATGCTCTATGAATATTAGCTAGTACTTCTGAACCCCAAATCCTTATGGGGGAACATGGAATTGGCATTTTGAACAAGAATTCCAATTTTTGCATCCGGAAATTTGTGAACCACTGCTGCGATGAAAGGTATGTATATCTTGGTTTATGCAGACACACACACACGTTAGATTCATATACTGCATTTGTATGAGAAAAATAAATGAAAAATTAGGCCAAGGAAGTTGAAATCTTTATTTTTTTCCCAAAAGTTTTATCAATTACCAAACAGAAGCCACATCTCCTACTCCTGTAGAAAACAGGAAGGGAAAACATGGCATCGACAGATGGGATATCAATTGGAGAGGGATAAAACCAACCAACGCCCTTTCAAAAATAAATTTTCTTGGCTGTAAATTCCGCGATGCAAGACCAGGCACTGTTTTTTTAATCATTCTTAATAGAGCCAAATAATCTTTTTCTTCTAAAATATGAAATGAGGACAAAAAGCAACGTTGAGTTCTCTTACCACCTGTCTCCATTACTGCCCCCTTTCAGTAGCCAACACTTTGGCAATACGAAATTAATACTGCCGCTCTGCTACTCCTCACCCATCTCCACTGGCCCGGCAGTTAAGTGGAGCTATTAGGGCTTTGACATCTGCCACTTTTGACTCCCAAGGGGAGGGTTGACCCCTCTGCTCTCCAATTTAAATGTCATTGTTCGTATTACACAGAAGGTACCTGAGAATCTTTTTCAGGAAATCCAACAGGTGACAAAGTGACTTTTAACACTATCTAGAACAGGAGACCCCTACCCTCAGGGCACAGAGCAGGAGGTGAGCGACAGGTGAGTGAGCAAAGCTTTATCTGTATTTGCAGCTACTCCCCAGTACTAGCATCACTGCCTCAGCTCCACCTCAGATCATCAAGCATTAGATTCTCATAGGAGCACTGGTCCCTCGTGCCAAAAATGTTGAGGACTGCTGATCTAGAGGACACAGAATGACTGTTTCTCCCTTCGTGTTCTCACATATTTTATCTCATATACACATAATTCTTCTTATAAAGAGGTAAATGGCTTACAAACAATGCCACTGGCAAGATGATAACCATGCTAACTCCATAAAATCAATCTATAGAATGTTTACACAAGGACATCCAAACTACTCATTTGATCAGCCAAAGTAGCCAACTTGGAGAATGACACAAAGCTGAGTTTTTTTCTGGAATTCCTGAATTCAGGGACATCATGCAGGCATCAACCCATATTTATCTTCAGGTCTGCCAAAGATGAATGCCAGTACATGGGTGGGAAAGGTGAGATTTTCAAGGTCACTGGATTCTCTAGTTAAGAATAAGTGGGTAAGAATAAAGTTTGGGCACGACTACCACAGGTGAAAAGAACTCAGCAGGTTTTTATAACACTTATCTCACAATCTAAAAATGATTCATTCTGTAAGGCATGAAATAGTTCTTGCTTTATAAAAATAGTACCATGATTTAAAAAAAAAAAAAAAGCACTTCTACCAAAGGTACCATGTTCCAACATTGCAAAAAAAAAAAAGTGTTCCATTTAAAGTAGAACAAGATACCCCAGCTCAATCTATCCCTTCCTTCCCCGTTCCCCTCCCCACCAGAGTCACGTCACTCCTGGGACACTGTTCTGGGTGGTAGGAATGCTAAGGCCACCTCCGGCCAGAAGAATTGGGAGACCCTGCTTAAGCACACCAGGACTAAAACACAGAGGGTCAGCTGTCTTCATCTAGGATCTCTGGATGTTCCTTCCAGAAAGCATCTCCAATGATATCGCAGTGCAAGGGCACTGGCTTAGTCCTGCTTCGGGTCACTGCCATCTTTTTTCCTTCCATTTCTGCTGGCAGCTTAACTTCTTTGGTCGTGACTTCATCCACCTACAGAAAAGTTAGAATATTGACACTTATTTTGAGAATGGGTTTGGGAAGAGAAAGAGGAGATGTGAGGGACGTTTGCTATTTACTTTATATACTTCTAACATATGTATATATAAGGAGGTATACACACATTTGTGTATCAATATACATGAATTTCTTTACAGTTAAAAAATATTTTTAAAAAGTGTTGCTATATTCTAAAAGGACATTTAGGAATGTATTTCATGTTCCTACTTAGCAATAACTATAGAATTCATGGTATATTTGCTCTCCCACCTGCATTAAGAAGTATCCAAGTCTGTGCCAAAGAACAAATGTGTTTTAAAAATACTAAAAAAAGGGCTGAAGTTGCTAGTGGAATGACTAGTTCTCAAGGTTCCCCTTAATACTTGAAAGCATTCATTTCAGAAAAAAACTGCTTTAAATGGAAGGAAATAAATTTAGAGAAATCATTATCCCCAGGAAGTGGTAGAATTAAGAATTTAGGTAAATGTACAGACTTATTACAGAATATTAAGGTAAGTATGAATGTCTGGGAATCTTATCAACAATCTGCAAGTGTCAGAACCCTCATATTACACTTATCACAGGATGGGCCATTTAATGGTATTATCCGGCATGGGAAAAAGTATTTTTTAAACGTTCTATGAATGTAAAAATCATGATAGCTACACTGTAACTCTTTAACAGAGTTTTATTTGATTTGGGGAGAGCTTATGACGCAGGAAAATAAATGTACTAGTTCCAAAATTCTGTGATTCTATTTCCAGGGGAGATTCCAAAATCACAAAGTTCACTGACAAACATACAGTGAGCACTGACTGACCAACACAAGCATCAGAATAGTAATCTAACCTATAGCATCTCGTTTTGGAAAGGATCTAATTCATGTTAGCAACTGCAGTCATATCAGCATACAGGTAGCAGGCAAGACAAAGACAAACTTGGGATGCGCACAGGCTCCTTCCTGACCTCCATTTTTACTGAGACACAACAGCATTACCTTCTGCCATATCAAAACAGTCCCCTTCCTATACATCAGCGGCTCATTATTATAGTTGATGTTGAATTCAGAAAATAAAATCTCATTCTTGTCTGCTGCAAGAGTTCCCTGAGGAAATAAAAACAGATGTAAAAAGCTTCTTATGTCTTGTCTCTCCCCTAACCCTACCATTACATCCTCTATCTAAACTTCCACAAACAAATCAAGACATGGAAGTGTTTTATCAAACATCTTTGATAATAATGAATTTGCATTTTGAGAGCAGTTCAAATTTTACTTAGAAGTGTAAATTCGAAAAATTCTCTTCTGTAGCAAACAATGGATTCACAAGTCATTACTGTGATATGGCGACAAAAAATAATAGTGAGAATACCCATTCTGTACTAGACACTTTATATTTTCTTATTTGACCCTCATAACCATTTCCATTTTTGAGATGAGAACTCTGAAGCTTAGAAAGTTTATATAAATTGCCCAAGGGTAAAAGCTGCTCTTATTCTTCTAAAAAGAACCAAAATCTAAACTTGGCTCTTCCAAACTGGATAGACCTATTAGTATTCCTATTATTGCTGACCTATTATTATTCCTATTGTTGCTATATATAAACCTTCACCATTATTGTTAATAAAAGCAATCATTTACTGAGTAATTATAAAGTACCACACACTGTAGGAGGAGCTGTTAGAACACGTCGCCTCATTTCAGAGTTAGTCATCCTACAAGTAGCACTGTCATCTAATAATAAAAGCCATTGTTTATTAAGTACTTACAATGTGCTTTGTATTATTCTACGTGTTTTACATGCATCATGCCATTTAATTCTTACTATAAACCTATGAGGTAGGAACTATTACTTTCCACATTTTACCTATAAAGAACTAAGGCAGAGAGGATAAATTAAACAGAAGCATGATCTGAGTATGATTATTTGACTCCCAGAGCCTAGACTCTTAACCATATGTGGGGGTCATAAATCCGAGAAACTACAGGCATCCAGCAAGGAATGGCGATGAGGGAAGAGGCCAGGTGGGACTGACCCCGACTCAAAAAAAAAAAAAAAAAAAAAAAGAGCCCATGCCCTGTCCAAAAAAAAAAAAAGAGCACATGCCCTGTCCAAAGATGGCAGCCAATCCTCAGCTCCAGCCAAGCATCAACACCACATGGGAACACAGAGCCAGTCATTCATTTCATTTTTCAGCTAAGGACACTGAGGCTCAGGGAGAAGTAGCAACTCATATAGAGTAACAGAGCAGACGAGTAAGCAGCCAGCCACTACTAGTATGATTTTTATATCTTTTCAAAACAAAGCTGTAAAGAGAGCTTAAAAAGAATGCACAATGTCATGAGAGAGCCTACTGAAAACTGTTCCCAGCTAAGTCATAACACAGCAAGATCGTTATACCTGTAATCTGCCCTGGGCTTGCACTGGTGTCAGTCCAGACTGTTGTACGAGTGCCCAGAAAACTGTATTATAAAGATTATTGATGTGACCTGTGAGAACAAAGTAGCACTGCTTATACACACATAAACTTTCTTCAGTATTCATACTTCAAAGAATACTAGAATCTCATCTTTTTTCCTCTTTAAAGAGAACTCAGAGACATTTAGTGACCTGCAGGCAAGCAAGTTTATTTCCTAACAGTTTTATTCTGTCATTTCAGTTATGCTTTACACAAATCTGTTAACTTGTGCATTAAGCTTAGGAATACTTTCAAAGTTATATCATTTACATTATTCCTACCTTTTTCCAGTTTTTCTGGCAAAATCAAGATATATCAAATGAGAAAAAATCTCACAAACATTTCATCATAGTCATGTTAAGGCAGGAGCCACAACTCAAATACTGAAGCCAGCATGAACATAAATGAATAAAGCAGAGTAGGTGACCCCCAGAAAACAAGAAATGGGAGGCAATGTGACACACTGGCTCCTGAGTGTGTGCATGTGTATGTGTGTGTGCAAAGGCAGCAGTTACTGCACAGGTTCTAACAGTAAGTAGAAATACAGACGTAGTACTACCAGATCTTCCGGTTAAAAAAAAAAAAAAAAGGCTGGAAATTGGGAGTATTTACATGAAATCTTTTTCAATTATTTTCAACGAATTAAAAAAAAAAATACTGCATTCCAAACAAAAATATGAGAGAGCTAAGCTTATATCAGATTACCACCTCTAAAGAATGGAATTGGTGGTTTCATTACATGTATTTAATTCCTTTCACTTACAATCTGCTTGCCGCCAGCTGAGGTAGTCCTTTAAGGTCTGGTTGTTAGGGTATACTACGACTCTTCCATCAAAGCCTGGAGGATACAGAAGGGGCTGGTCTTCGAAGAAATCTCGCCAATAAAACACATAGCTGGAGGCGAATTGTGAGGCCACATGAGTCATGAACTTACTTGAAGTATAAGGCACATTGGGTGGAGCAAGAAAAGAGAAAATAAATGGTATTAATTCAATACTGCGATAGAGTCTGTGGGTGCAACAGAGAGATTACACACTGTCCAATAAGCCAAGAGATAAAATGTGTTGGGTCAAGAAAAACTACTTTAATATTTCAGTTATATATTTGAAATGTAGCCTGCCTCTTGTTCTAGCTCTGTAATTTACTAATATCACATTTTTCTCTGTAGACTGTAATGTGAATTTATGATTCAAGAGATTTTTTTTTTAAGTCCTAGAAGGAGGGGAACCATTGTTCTCATTAATTATTTTTTTTAGTGTAAACGTCATTTATTTAAAACAATTACAATTTTCTTAGGAGAAATGAACAAACAAGAATCTAATACATGTAGCACATAAACACATACTTAATATCATCCCATAAATGTTTCCCTTTTAAAACACTAGCATTTACAGTTTTTCAGAAGAAACAATAGTTGAAGAACATTGTTTTAAAAAATACCAATGTATTATATTTGTTTCCTGTGAGTTTCAAAATACTCAAATATGAGATTTGTCTATTTAGTACTGAAATACTGAAATCCTCTTTAATTAAAGGTTTAAGCAATACTGTAATGCCTGTATCGACTATCACTGGCTAAAGCCAACCTATGAGTCACTAATATTATATTCCATGGTCTATTTTTCTAGTCTTAATGTTCAATGCCAAATCAGTCTAGAAGCTAAAGTGATAGGGAATGGAGGAGAAAGAATCAGATATGGAGGGACACAAAATGCTCAGATATCAGGTGGAAGTACAACAGTCCAAACAAGAGTATACATACATTTTGTAAATACTGCAGACACCATCTGTGGTCTGCGAGTCTGTGTTTTAAGATAAGCAGAAATCAGATGCTGGTTGGAAATATTCTGAAAGAGCTAGGCCATGGAATTACCTGGCTCTTCTTTTAAACCAGTTGCTTTTCCGCTTGAACACAAAGCTGTACTCATCACTCTGTCCATACGCAATCACAATATCCTCTAGTTCTTCCATTACAGTCTGGGCACATTTGGTCATTAGGTAGAGAGCACGGCTATCGTTTGGTTTTGCAAAGTTGTGCTTCTCCGAAAACCTTCATAAGAGAAAGGGAGGAGGGAAAAGGGTATGAATGGAGGAGAACTTGTCAGTAACACCACAGATCAAAGTGGTTGTTCAAAGAGGAAGATACTGTAATAGTGCTGAGTCCAAACACTCCACTAGCGACAACTTAATCCATTTTCTTAAGAATGCAGGTTATCCTTAACTCTGATCAACTGAGAAAAGGGGACATAACTGCTAAGCCTCAATTCCCTTTTCTGTGAAATGGGGATAGAGAATATTTATTTTATAGAATTGATCTGAAGGTTAGGGGACAATAACATGTAATTATGTCTGGCTCCTTAGAAGTGCTTAATAAATATTAGTTACAATAATTATTACAGTAGCACTTCTAAAAAATTAAATTCCCATGTTACACTTCTGCCTTTTGACTTTTTTTCCTTCCTGAATCCAGTCCACGAGGCTTGTTACTGACAATGAAACAAAAACATACTGTAAAGTGTTGCCCACGGCAAGGCCTAAACAGGGCTGTGAACAGTTAGCACTCAAAAGATACCTAACAAAATAGCTGGGCAATATGCTGAAGAGATGAAGTATTGTGCCTGAGAGTGACGTATTCCACCAAGTCCTCACTAACAGGTATCTCCTCGCAGATAACCAGGCCAGCTTATCACCAGGGGAGCTCTTTGGCCCATCCAACTACCCCGACCAACTAGCTTTCAAGCACGTCTTAATCAGCACAGTAGAATGATGCTCAACGTCGCGCGCTCATTGGCTGCCGCGTTACCCTGGTGACCACCTGGGCCTGCGACGCGAGGATTTAGATGCCCAGAAAGCGCTGGCGCCCCGCGCGGCCCGCCCAAAGCCTCACTCACCGATGGAAATTCCTCCCGTCCAACCGCACCACCACCCAGCAGTGAGCCAGGCAGGTGTCGTCAGCCTCGAAGTCCCGCACGTACTCGAACTTGCTCTTTGCCATGGTCGCCCCTAATTTCAAGCACTGTTTCAGAGTGACGGAAGTTGAGGCCAAGCAATCGCGAATCTTCAGGTTGCAAGTGGGCCACATTTCCGCCCCCCGCCCCGCGAAAGGGAAGGGGCTGGGAAGCCCCGCCCCGGAAGTTCTTACGTTTCTTCGTGGCCGCTCTAGCCTTAACAAAGGTCGGCGTCTTTCTCGCCTCTCCTCGTAGTCCTCAATCTACTTCCGGGCGTGGTAGAAAAGTTCCATTCTTCCTTTTGCACTACTCACGGTTTCTGGCTGTTCTTCTATCTTGCAACTAATCTCTTGCACGAAGTTTTAAACATTTTCTTTCCGATTAAGTTTGAAGTTTTGTGATTTTTCTTTTAAATAGCATTTATTATTTTGTTGTAGAAGATGTAGAATATACCGATAAATATAATTAAGAAAATACTTCATATCTCCCTTCTCCATGTCAAAGCATTGGAGCTTCCTTCCAGTTTTTCTCCTTGTATGTGTAAGCTTACACAGGGAACATAAAATTGGAATCATACCTATACAATTTTTAATATTTTTTCCACTTACCTTGAGTATTTTCCAATGTCGTTAAATATTTCAAAGCGTGATTTTTAAAAAGAATGGACTCATTCCAACGTATGGAAGTACTAAATTAACTTACTCAACTTTTTCTCAAATAATCAAAGACCCAATGTTTTATTTCTTGTTCCTGGTAGATAATAGTAACAATAAAACTCTATTGCGTGTGTTATGGTTTATGATTTATAAAGTTTTTTTTTAAATTCATTACTTATTATTTTATCCTCAAGAAAATTATTCAAACAGTATAAAAGAATATATGTTGAAAAGTAAGTCTCTTGCTAACTCATAACTCCCTACTTTAGGAAATTACTATTACCAGTTTCTTGTGTATCCACCCAGGGAGAGACATAGATATATAGATGATATAGATATGTATACATAAGTATAAATATATATAAATACATCAAAGCAACAGGATGTTACTTCCCATACTTCCCTCTTGCACCACCTACCTTGAGCCCCGACCCTGTCCCCTGGACAATTAGTGGCAAGTGAGGGGAACCTTCAAAGGCAGACAAAAACGGAGGACTGCTTCAATGAAATGACTCATTTCATTGTACTAAGAGCTGGATTATGTAAATGCAATTCAGGTCCCAGCTAAGGACCTCCAGAGTTTTCCTGGTGCTGTCACTGTCGGAGAGCACCAGGAGAGTCACTGGAAGATTCTGATAGGTGTCATCTCTCCTGCTCCCTTTGAGTTTCGGGGTGTATGTGAATGTAGAGACCACTGACCACATCACACTTAGAGGTTTCTGAAGCAACCTATGCTAGTAGATAAAGAGCAGCAATGTGATGTACTGAGGAAAGGACGGGGATACCTCACTGCACTTTTCCCCATCCACTGAGGTCTGGAAAAGTTTATCAACACCATCAGTCCCATAAGAAGGATTTCAGAGGTAAGAGGGAGAGGCAGCAGCTGGGAGTTGCCTATGAGGTCACTGGGCAAAAGAAGTTACCCCTCCTAGATTGGGTTTGGAAATAGAGCTGGAAGAGCTAAAGGGAGCTACGGCTGCTCCTCTTTAAAGGATCCTAAAATGGCCTGTTGCTAAAAATGGCCCCAGGAAAACCATGCACCATGCCAAAACAAGGAGGACTTCCCACCTCCAGGTTTAAGACCAATTATATAAGGAGAACTCTGCCTCCCCTCTACACCAGCCTAGCTCTCAATGGGACAAGAATAAGTCTTGAAAAGAGGGGGATGATCCAGAGAATCTCAGAACCAGACCGTGTCTGCCACCCCATTCCAGGTTACTGGAGTGGGAACAGCGTGAAAGACCCAGAGCCTCCGACTCCAAGCCCCTTCAGTAACAGGCCTGGCTGAGGCTGAGGTGGGGAGAGGGGTGTGTGGGTACCGATGCTGGTCACGGAAAGACAAATACTGTATGATTCTGGAAATTCAATGATGTGCTTAGAGTAGTCAAATTCATAGAGAAAGAAAACAGAATGATGGTTGCTAGGAGGAAAGGAATGGGAGAACAGGATTTGTTGTTTAATGGGTGTAGAATTCCAATTTTGTAAGATGAAAAGAGTTCTGGAGATTGGTTGCACAACAGTGTGAATGTACTTTACACTACTGAACTGTACTCCAAATGGTTAAGATGGTAAATTTTATATGTATTTCATCACAATTTTTTTAAATCCTCCACACAACAGATATTTATGACCTAACTGGACACTGATCTCTATTTTTTTTTAAATTTCTCTTACTTAAAAGATCATTTACTGAGGCTGACAGAAAGAGAAATTCTTGCCTTTGGTATGAAAGTCATATTTCGGTTTGTCTTCCCCGATGCTGACTCATTTCATTGTACTAAGAGCTGCATTATGTAAATGAAATTCAGGGTGGAATGGGTAATAAGGAATAATTTGTCTCTAAAGTCTCCCTCCCTGCTCTAAACCACTCTAATCAAACTTCTGGCTAGAAGTAATGTACAATATATCCTTCCAAGAATAGACTGCCTAGTTTTGTCATGGTTTTGAAGTTGTGGTTTTTGCCTGCCCAGAGTCTCTTTTTCTGTGCCCCAACTGTCCTTTCCCCATCCTCAAACCATCTGGTTCATGTGGGGATAACCCCAACTAACCTTTGCTCTGAGGTGAGCATGTGACCAAGATCACTTCAGTGCCTCAGTGAATTACAAAAAGGAACCGCCTCTCTGGCAGACATAGTCATGCACCAGGTAAAGGTCTGGTAAGTATGCCCTGCACTGGGTTTCAGCTCCTGCTTGTCCTCTTTGCAGTGAACACCTACACAGATATTTGTGGTGGCTGCACCAATAACCCAGACATGGCCAGTCAGGTTGAGAGATGTGCACTTGATCCAAGCCAAGTCAATGAGACAGTCTGGCACTTTCCTAGAATGACTGGGAAAAACAGATTCTCTTCATATTAGAATTGCTACACTGGTGGCCACATTGCCTTCCAGAAGGAAGAGGCTGCCCATGAATTATGCCTATATAAAGATAAAAAAATCTGAGAGATGGAGAAAAGTATTTCTGTTGACATTGAGCATTGTGCCTGGAGCCAGTACTACTCCTAGAGTCCTGTAAGTTCCAGGAGGCCAGGGACCTTGCTTACTATTATTCAAAGCTGTATACCCTCCCCCACCCCATGCCTAGAACAGTGCCTGGCACATGGGATGCAATCAATAAATATTTGTTGAGAGATTATGCCCGTAACTTCCTTTTTTGTATATGAAATTGGGTTTTTTGAAGTCTCAATTCATTGGGGTAAAAACAAATAATAACTTTATTTTCCCCAATAACTACTCTCTCATGTTCTCCTTTAGTGCTAGTTAGCAATTCCCTTAAAGTATCTTGGCCAGATCTCACAACTTCCCCAGTTAGTAAACTGTACTAGTATTGGTATCCAAAAGTTGGTCAAGAACATGGTGCTCCCCCAATGCAGGCATCTTTCTCCCTCTAGGTCCTAGTACTGTAACTCAAGGTAGGGAGGTGATTGATATAGCAGATCCGGTTCTGGCTTTTTTTCTTTTCTTTTTAAAAATTATTTTAGTGAAGTTTTACTATTATTTTTATTTTCAAAGTAAGTAACAAAGTTATTGTTAATATAAATTTTCTCTTTATAAGTGTTGAAACTCAAGTGTTGAAAGGCAGCAGGCATTCTAGGATGGGCTTGCAAAAAAAATCAATTATTCCAATATCAATAAATAGGACACTTGATGATTTTATAATTAATTCTTTAACTTCCTTACTGACACCTCCTGATTTGCCAGGGTTTTTACTCAGTTGGTATTGTTAAAGTATCTTAAGTTCAAGCCTTTTTACTGGAGCAATTATTTCCATTTTCCATTATTTCTATTCAGTTTTTCAAATACATAGTAAAACAATCCAATAATCATGCAGGCAGGAGTTATTATTTAAGTTGGATAGTGTTCATTTATCTTTTAATTTCATTTAAAGATATTAATATTAGTCATAAAAGCTTTAGTTTCAACACACATACATACCATCATAGAATTTAAAATATTTGTACCTTAAATTACTTTTAATGTATCCACTTTGTTTAATGTATTTAATCTTTTGCTGTAAACACTCTTCACATATTGTTTGCATTGCTGTCACAGAAGATTGTCATCTTTTTTTGAATTACTAATTCAGACTGGAATATGAACTAGTCTTGCACAAAATCAACACAAACGATTTATTCCTCTGCTTTTTATATCCATACTTGGCTCTTTCGAATAAGCCCGAATTCAGCAGTTCTCAAAGTGTGGTTCACCTCATACACTGCTGGTGGGAATATAAATTGGCACAACCACTATGGAAAACAGTATGGAAGTTCCTCGAAAAAGAATTGAATTACCATATGACCCAGCAATCCATTCTCTTCTGGGTATTTACCCCCCAAAAACCTGAAAACATTTATCTGCAAAGATATATGCACCCCAATGTTCATAGCAGCATTATTCATAGTGGCCAGGACATAGAAGCAACAGAAGTGTCCTATGATAGATGACTGGATAAAGAAATGTGGTACATATATACAATGGAATATTACTCTGCCACAATTTGCAACAACATGGATAGATCTTGAAATAATCATGCTAAGCGAAATAAGCCAGACAGAAAAGGTTGAAAACCATATGATTCCACTCATACATGGAATATAAAACTGAAAGCAAAAAACAAACATGACAGAGACTCTTGGACACGGACAGTGGATTAGTGGTTACTAGAGGGAAGTGGGGAGGCAGGAGGAGGTAGATAGGGGTAAAAGAAGTCAAGTATTTGGTGACACAAGGAAATCTAACTTTGGGTGGTGAACATACAATGCAACATATATATGACATATTGCTGAAATGTATACTTGAAACTTATTTGATTTTATTAATGTCGCCCCAATAATTTTTAATAAAAAAGTGTGGTTCAGGGATTGACTCAGAGAATCTGCTAGGTTAATATAATTTTCATAATAATTCTAAGACAATATTTGCCTTTTCACTTCATTCTCTCACGTGTACAGTGAAGCTTTCCAGAGCCTATATGGCATGTGAATCACAACAGATTGAATGCAAAAGCAGACATGGAAATACAACTGTTTGTTTGATTTTTAATTAAGCTAGACATTAGATTCACGATGCCACTCTTCTAATTTTGGAGAAAACATAGTTTTATGATGAAAATGTGTTATGTTAACATGTAATGGGTTTAGTATTGATATTTTAAATGAATTGATGATAAAATATTTTTTAAAGTCTTCAGTTTTTATAACATGGTAAATATTAATAGATAAAACTATGTAAATATAAACTCTCTGTAATCTCCAATTCCTTTTGTGGGTGTAAAAGTTTCCTGGGATAGGAAAGTTTGAGAACCACTGCCCTTGTGTTCTTGCCAGGTGTATGAACTGCTGTTTGCCACATCTGACGACAGGGATTAGAAAGGGACTTGGGGTCAGGTCTTCTTTGAGAGAGAACTTGTCTTGATTAACTCATCTGCTTTGAGATAAATCTATAGTTTTTAGTTAGGACATCTTTTAAAATTGTAACAAATGTTAATAAGATTTCTTTTTCTTGGTGATATTTAATGGAAGTAAACACAGTCCTAGTAAAAGAGGCATAGGCATGGAAAAGACTTGGAGCAGTGACTAGCATAACAGTAAGCCCTCAGTATAGGTAATGATTATCATTATTTTATTATTAGACTGTGGCAGTCCTTATTTATTTGACAAGTATTTGTCGAATGTCTACTATATGCCAGGCTCTATGGTCAGCATTAAGGATTCAATGATGAGCAAAACACAAACAGTCTGCCTTCAAAGAGTTTATAGGCAAGTGGGGGACGCAGTAGGATAATGATATGTATATAATCATGAATTGTGGTAAGAGCTTTGAAAGAAGTGATGGAAGTATGACTCCATAAAGGAGATTCGACCTGATTTTCAGAGTCAGCAATTACTTCTCTGAGGAAGTTGCAATTCTGAAAAATGACTGAAGGAGTTAAGACGACAAAAAGAACTAGCATGGGGAGCTAGCCAAAGGCTTTTGAGGTAGGATTTAGATGAGAAGTCAGTGTGGCTGGACCCCGCAGGGCCAGGACTAGAATGGTGAGTAGTTGTAGCAGTACTAGAGCCCAAGCCATTTGGGGCTTTATAGACTTTGCCAAATATGTTAGACCTTTAGTGGGTGGCCAATGGGGAGCCAAGATTTAAGAGAGCGGGGTGTGACAAGTCTAGATTTGTATTTTTGGAAGATCGCTGGCAGCTGGAGTGTAGGAGACAAGAGTAAAAAGCAGGAAGACTATTTACAGTATCCAGGCGAAAGACGATGGAAGCTTGAACAGAGCAATGGCTGAGGAAACCAAAATAAGTGGATGAATTTTAGATGTATTTTGCAAGTAGAGCCCACAGGGCTCCTGATTAATATAAAATTTAACTAGCACAGTAATCGTACAAAGTCCAATATCCCTCCCAGCAAAGGAATCAACTAATGTGGTTATTGAGAAGTTGCGGGATTTCCCTTTTCCCGTGACGCTCAGGACTTGCCGTGCATTCCGGCAGCGCAAACAAACCGCACGTACAAGACTGGGTTCCTTAGCCCGCGCAAAGGACTCACATGACTTTATCACCTGGAGGTCAGTGGCGTGGAACCGCAGTTTCCCGGACAACGCCATTGTCGGGTGCTGCGGGCGGGGGAGGGGTAACTAAGGACAACTGCCGGAAGAGAACTCAGAAGAGACGGAGAGGAAGAGAGGGGAAAATGGGCAGCACGTGCCGCGGCCCGGGCCATCGCGGGTGATTCGAGGGCTCTGCACGAGAAAAGAGCGGAGGGTAGGAGGGGCCGGAGAACGCTGTGATTGGCGGGCCGGGGTACTGGGACGCTTGCGATTGGACGAGGCCACGACGGAGGGCGGCTTTTTGAACCGCGTAGGGTTCTGGGTAGCAAAGGCCTTGGAAGGGCCTTAACCGAAAGGGGGAGGGGGAAGGTCACCAACAAACGGCTGAGCTCACAATCCCGGCAGAGAGCAGGCCGGGGCGTCCCCCTCCCCCCATGGAGAGAGCCAGGCCGGAGCCGCCACCTCAGCCTCGCCAACTGCCGCGGGCGACTCCGCCGCGCCCACTGCGCCCAGCTCCGCCCCCACTGTCGGTCGAGGGCACCCCTTTTCGGGCAGCAGCTTTCGAGCCCCCTGTGTCGCCGCCTGCTCTGTGCGCGGCCGCCATTGCTGCCGTGGCCTCGTCGTGCGGGGAGGCTGCGGCGTCGAGCGTACAGCAGTCGGCACGGCGGCTGCTACAGGTGAAGCCGGAGCAGGTGTTGCTACTGCCGCCAGGGCCACCACTGCCTCAGGCCCGGGACGAAGGCCCTGTCGCCTCGCCCGCGCAGGCGCGGCTGCTGCAGCTGAGGCCCGAGCTGCTGCTGCTGCCACCCCCGCAGCCCACGTCGGAGGGCCCCCCTTGCAGGCCCGAGTTGCATCCGATGCAGCCCCGGGCGCTGCACGTCAAGGCTGAAAAGCAGGAACCAGGCCACTGCTTTGATTCTTCCGTGGGGCTTCGGAGGGCAGTCGAAGTGGGGCCTAGGACCTCAAGGGCGGCCAAGGTGGAAGGCCTGGGGCCGGCCCTCGACAGTCGCCGAGGGGACGAGAAGAAAGGCAAATTAGAGGCGGAGGATGTCATGAGGAACGCGGCGAAAGGCGGGGAAGGCAAAAGCCTGTCGGCCATCAGAGAAGGAATCATCAAAACGGAGGAGCCCGAGAGACTCCGCGAGGACTGTAGACTCGGCTCGGAAACCACGTCTAATGGGCTGGTCCATGGCAGCAAGGAGGTCATCCTGGCCCAGCCGACCAGCGCCTTTGGGCCGCACCAGCAAGACCTCAGAATCCCTTTGACTCTCCACACGGTCCCCCCTGGGGCCCGGATCCAGTTTCAGGGACCTCCACCTTCAGAGCTGATAAGATTGGCCAAGGTCCCCTTGACACCAGTGCCTATTAAAATGCAATCGTTACTGGAGCCTTCTGTAAAAATCGAAACCAAAGATGTCCCGCTCACCGTGCTTCCCTCCGATGCAGGTATTAGATGGCAGGGGGATCTGGTTTTCAAATTTCGTCTTTGTTGCCACAGTGCTGACATGTCCGCAGTTTAGAAGTCTAAAGGAGAAAGATAAAATCAGGGAACTGATTCTTTTCAGGGTAAAGTCTGCACAAGTATCACTTCTGATTGACTTGTCCATGTACCAGTAAAATATACTAATGCGTTTTACATTCCCAAACATTAAAAAAAAAAAAAAATTAAGGCCAGTGAAGTTGAGATTTAGATGTGACTAATGTTTATACAAAAAATAGAAGTATGCTTGCTAGATAACACAAAGCCCTTAGTTTATATGCTACAGATAATCAACATTTAAGAGTATTATACCTTGATTTTTTATGGGTATCAAGAAGCAGAAGTGATGTTTAATGAAAAAATAGTTGCAATTAAATAGAAAAGTTTTACTGAATTTAGAGGTTATTTTTCTTTAAAAATGAACAATAAACGCTTTCTAAGAGAAAACAGTACATGATTAAATGTAACATTTTAGTATTCTAAAAGCTAAGAGAAATATAGAAAAAGAAAATACTGTAGAATAAGAGAAAATTTGTTTTTTAAAAAATGACAACTACGGGTAGATATTTATATCCATTATCTCCAAATATGGTTAGAAAATTCTTAAGATTTAATTCAGACAAAACACTATGCCAATGAATGTCATGGAAAGTCATATTAATCTTCAGTTCATATTTTCATTAACTTTTACATTTGTTGTTTTATTTACTGATTATTTCTTTCACTCCACCCTCTTGCTTTTATCTTCAGTAATTTTTAAACTTTGTTTACATTTTCTAAAGGAAAGGAAAACTTTATAATACTTATTTCATCCTTTGTGTTTTTAAAAATTTTGTATGTAAAGTAACCCTAAAATAAAGAGAATGTAAGAAGGTGTTGAGGAGCTTCACCTTCATAATGAAATACAACTAATATAGTATTATAATGTAGTAAATATTTTTGCTTGAATGGGCATTTAAATCACTTTCTTTAAACATTTAGGGAACACCTACCTGGTGTAGGATTATTGTCATGAATAAGTTATAGTTCCTGTCCCCCATTAATAGACTGTTTTTACTGGGAAGTAAACTAAATGTTAATTATTATAAGAGGTATTGATAAAGCTCAAAGAGGTACTAAGCCAACAGTTTGCTGTATCTTCAACATTATTTCTTCCACAGTATCTTCAACAATATTATTCTTTTGAGGAAAAGGAGAGTCATTCTAAACTATAACTTAGAATGCTGAGTTCAGGTGTTATGAGGAATTCTGGAATACTGGCAATTCTTTGGCTAAACTGAAGTGTTTATTTCCTCTAGATTTAAAAAAATATAGTTGGAAGTGTACTTCACTTTACAATTGTGTGCATGTGTGTGTGGCATATTAATTTAGTCTCTAATTTTTGTCACGTAGGAATACCAGACACTCCCTTCAGTAAGGACAGAAATGGTCATGTGAAGCGACCCATGAATGCATTTATGGTTTGGGCAAGGATCCACCGGCCAGCACTAGCCAAAGCTAACCCAGCAGCCAACAATGCAGAAATCAGTGTCCAGCTCGGGTTAGAGTGGAACAAACTTAGTGAAGAACAGAAAAAACCTTATTATGATGAAGCACAAAAGATTAAAGAAAAGCACAGAGAGGAATTTCCTGGTAATCAAATGAATAAACCTTCTTTCTAATTTTAAATGAGTGTATTTATGTAAAAAGTAGGTTAGGTTGAGATTGGAAGACAAAAATGTTATTTTTTTTCTAATCTGATAGTTACAATAAAGAGAATAATGGCTGATGTTATACTAATGATTTAACTGATACTCAGCATAAATTTCCTTTAACAGAACCAAGTAGAGGGACATCTGGGCTTCTATTTGCTATCTAATGCAAACCAGGGGACATACAGTTATACCGTGGTTTTGGTTAAATATGTAAATGTAAACTTAATGAATGTAAAGCTCCAGAGTTCTAGGAGCTTTGCAAATATACTAGAAAATTATGTTAAAATTATAACAATAGAAAAAATAAGCAGTACTCACTTAAAGTAAATGAGAATGCAGAGATTAACACCATGCTCCACTTTAATATTACATGTTTATTAGAACATAGTCCTGCCTTCTGATTGATACATTTATCCTCACCATGGTGTAGTTTGAAATGAATTCTGATTTTCTCCCCAGCAGTAAGGACATAAAGATTAAGCTTGGGTAAATGCACAGTGTATGCCCAACATGACTTGTGCATAGTAGGAAAAGAATTATTTTTTTCTAAAGTATGAGCAGAGAGGTTCTAAGGGGGAATGAATGGTCAGAAGCAGTGATTATAGGGAACCAGTAGTTCTGGTCATACAGTGGTTTTAATTGCCATAACTCCACTCTCCTGACTTTGAAAGGAAATTGGGTCGTTTGTGGACTTGGAGACGACCAAGTCTAGAAGAGTGACTCTTCCTGAATTAGGCATAAAATAGTGATTGGTCATTAGTGACCATTTCAGTGTAAGATATGGACAATTGTATCATATAGAAAGTGAGAAAACAGGAGAAGAGGAATACTATCTTACTGGGGCATTGTTTTATAATAAGTTAGAGGAAAAGCTTTGGGATTCCAACCCAGTGCCTTTAATGTTGCTTTTTCTACAGATTCCACATGTATCTTTGGATATAAGACATTTGACTTTGCTCCTCCTCTGAATTACGGGTTACAGCGTTGGCCACTAATTAGGAACTATATGGGTATATATGCTAAAATGCACAGAAATAGTATCACAGAGCAGGAAATGATACTTTAGTCAATAATTTATTAAAACCTTAGACATGCTTTGAACTTTTGATGTGAAAAAAACTATTTAAAGGCTAAATAGGGTCTATATGTTCAAATTAAAAAGTTTATCTTCTTCTATAGGTTGGGTTTATCAACCTCGACCAGGGAAGCGAAAACGCTTCCCTCTAAGTGTTTCCAATGTATTTTCTGGTACCACACAGAATATCATCTCTACAAATCCTACAACAATTTATCCTTATCGCTCACCTACCTACTCTGTGGTAATTCCCAGCCTACAGAACACCATCACTCATCCAGTTGGTGAGTTGGTTTCTTTGTAGATTATGAATTTTTAAATAGCTGTGTGAAAATTTTACTTCTTAAGTTGAAATTTTGTTTGTTAGCTTAAGAATTTAGAAATACATTAAGAAACAAATGAAGTAAGTGAAAACATTAAATCAGAGAAGGAAAAATTTCAATAGATATTAAAGCATTTTGGTTTGCCTGAGTAGCAAATATTCCATGTGTAAAACAGACCTTTTAAGCAAATCAGGGTGAATCCATAGATTAGGTTGATAACACAGGAAATGACTGAGATAATTCAACAGGAAACAGGAGTATCTTTTTACTACCAGCATAAAAGAATGCCTTGCTAATGGGGTGTGAGGCATCCTTTCCTGGAATTTAGTAATTACTGATCTGTTAAAACTGTTCTCTTGCCGTTTGAAATATTTGTTCCCTAATTTTTCCCTCTGTTATCAGTTCTTTACAACATTCCTGTCTCTTGCTTTTGAGAACTCAAAATTGAGAAGCTAGTAACTTAATAACATGTTATAAGGCTATCCATCATTGGTCCTTCCAGGACCTATTTTAACCATCTCTTAGGCAGAGATTTTTACCTTCGCTACCTAAAACTACTGATTTTTCCAGTTTTCACTCGCTCAGATCCTTCTGGTAATGAAGGTACCCCGATGTGCTAAGAGGTTTAGATATCTTGAAAATTAACTTAGAATCTTAAGCATTTTCAATTTTGTGTGTGTATGTGTAAAATTTTAGCAATTGATAGCAACAAAGCCAAATTCAAGATGTCTACATTGAAAAGAAAGATGCAGAAAGCTGATTCTGTATCCTTGTTCTTTCCCATCACAGTCAGGCGCTTTCACTCTTCACTATTTGTCAGTATTTCCTCTAATCCTGCATTTCAACCTAGGCTTAATTATGCTATTGTTAACTTACCTTGTTTTGTCTGCTATGTTATTTGTGATTTCTGCGTTTATAATCTGTTTCTTAATCCTTTTTTACGACCTCTCTTCCATTTGCTTCTATACGCTCTTAAATGCTGTATGTTTTCCCAGGAACAGATTTATTGATGTTCTTATTTGAAGCAGTTGACACTTTTATACAACATATAGTTGACTCATGAACAACATGAGTTTGAACTGCATGAGTCCATTTATATGCTGATTTTTTCACTCAATACAGTTGGCCCTCCATATCAGCCGATTTTGTATTCACAGATTCAGCCAACAGCAAATAGTGTTTTTGCTCCGCAGATGTAGAAGGCCAACTGTATGCATGGTTCCATGTCATTTTATATAAGGGACACGAGCTTCCATGTATTCCAGTATCCACTGGGGTCCTGCAACCAATCCCCTGCAGATGCTGAGGGTGGACTGTATTAATTTTATGCAATTCTGAGCAAAGATGTGGAGTAGATAGAAACTGGAAGATTTTCTTCTGTCAGAGTTCTTGCATCCATGATGTTCTATTTAAGTATGGCAGACAGAATTAAAGGAATCATTTAGAGCCGCACACAACAGTACTTAAATCGAAGGTGAGATAATAATCTTTTGTTTGCTTTTTTCCCCACATCTCTTATTTTTGATAATATTGTAGTCTCCATAAAGATTCCTTTCTTGGATCTCAAATGATAAACAGAGATCATTATCTTGTAAGCATAATTTGGGAATTATTTCTCTAGATATATGTCTTAATAGTTAATGATAAAATTTATCTGTTACTTCACTGCCCAGTTCTACAGTTTTGAAATATATCCTTTAAATTGTTCTCATAATCTTGGCATTATATTACTTAGAGGAGCTGGTTTCACTTGCACATTTGGAAATTTCACTGTTTATTTCTAAGTCATTTATTCTAAGTCATTTATAAAACAAATATGAACAAATTATAGCACAGATCCATAGGGGAATCATACTTTAAATCTCAGCATTTGCAGATGTGAATTTTTATACTTTTCCTTTTTTATTTCTTTCAACTAATTTTATATTCTAAATATAAAGTCATGCTAATTTTGTTTTTCAAACTTGTTTGCTTTATTCCCATGGAAGAAAGATATTAATTTAGTGAGGTATGATTTATCTCTTAAAGAAACAATTTGCTTTCTTTTTTCTACCAGGCTTTGTGCATTAATATATTGTATAGATTTTGCCAGCTTTTCAGACGTAGAAAATAGACTTGCCAAGCTATAGTTCTCAAGGGTACCACTTCCAATAGCTGGGAGTTATGTCGACTTTGCAAAATTTCTCTGAGAGACCATTTGTATCTACTTTAATATTTTCTCAGTTCTAACTTTGAGTTTCTCTATAGTTCTTAAGTAATTGCCACCTAAGATCTAGTTATATGTTTTGTCAATTTGGATTAGAACATTCTGTGAGCCTGCCATGATAACGCAGTTGATCTAATATTCTAACCTATGTGCTATGAAAATGAATTAGAGTTGAGAAATTTTCTTAATGTCATTTTTAGTAGGAAGGAGTTTATTGAGTCTCTCTGTTCTCCTTTCAGTTGCCTTTTATACTGTTAATGACTATTTCACTGATTTTTTTCTTTCTGTAAAAGTATTTAAAGATTCAGTTAATATTTATTTTGAGGTCCCTCACATGTGACTCAATTTTCCTTTGGACTGCCTAACTTTTATTTATGTCTGATTCATACACTTGGGCTTCTCTGTTTTATGCATTTGGACAATCTTTTCATTTTAAAAAGATGATTTTTGAGGTGCATTTTTTCCATCTGTTTTTTTAACATTATCATGTAAAATGACTTTCATTTTTCTATGAATTTTTAATTTTAGTTATTCCTATCAGCTTTTTTCCCCTAGCCAATATCTGTATTTCCAAAAATCTAATAACTCCAGGGTGGATTTTTTGTCTTTTCTTGTTGGAATGTGAAATTTAAATACGTTGTCATCACTACTACCTAATATTTCACACAGTATTCATGCAATTTCTAGTAATCTGTATCCATTGTTTGGTTCTCACTCAAGCTTATTTCATTTTACTGTGTATTCTACTAAAGCTGTTTGTTCCAATAAGCGATCATTTGTCCTGTACTACAGCGGTACCCAACCTTTTTGGCACCAGGGGCTGGTGCTCCTATGAAAATCTAATGCCTGATGATCCCAGGTGGAGCTGAGGTGGTGATGCTAGTGCTAGAGAGTGGCTTGCAAATACAGATGAAGCTTTGCTTGCTCACCAGCCACTTACCTTCTGCTGCATGGCCCAGTTTCTAACAGGCCACAAACCTGTACTGGTCCATGGTTTGAGGGTTGAGGATCCTTGGTGTACCAGATCATCTCAGCACATTTTTATCTCATTAAGTCGATCTATTTGAAATCTGATCATGTAATTTAGTATTCTCTCTTGATTTGGTGAATGTTTCCATCTCAGATGTCTTCTTAGTCTATAGTAAATCCCAATTCCACATTTACGTGCCTGCCTCCTTGTCCCTCACTTCCCGATGTTTATTAAGTGCCGATTATGGATTAAACTTTGTGCTGGGGACAAAATGCAAAAACATTTTTACAGACTCTACTGTCAATGAGTTTATAAGGTACTTAATAGAAAGGATCAATACAAATACTACTAATTTTATTATCTCTTCGATAAATCTATGTTATCTATCTTGCTTGGTATCATTTTTATGACCCATGCATTATGTTTACTCTATCTCTCACATTTAATGCCACATCTCAAGCTCTTCTCCTGTTTCTGAAAGTGCTCAAAATACAATAGTCCAGAATTCTTTAGATCTAATCTTTGTTTTATCAAATGTCTTTGATGCCAGTTATGCCAGGATTTTCATTTTATGGTAAGTATTCACATTCGTTTATTTTAAAGGCTTCTAGAACTTTGGTAGAAGCTATATTTATTTTACCTTGGCTTTAAAATGTCACTTTATATATGAATTTTCTCGTGAGCTTATTTTCTTTTTTACATTTTATTTCTCAAGCATGAAATTGGTTTTTCATATTAGATCTTAAATCAATTGATATCTTTCACTCCCCTGAATTCATACATTTTCTCTAAAATTTTAGTTTAAAAAATGTTTACTATTTTAATTTTGTTGATAGACATAAAGTGGCATTTTGGTTTACCCACCTCTTCTTGCTTAACCAAACCAAACCGAACCGAACCGAACCGAACCGAACCGAACCAAAATAAACCGCTATCATTCGGATACTATTATAATTCAGAGAATCTGGTCTTGTTTCTGCTTTAAAGTCCATTCTAGTAAAGTGTTATATCCATGAGAAACACAAATTTGGCTTGGAAATTCCTTGAAAGGTCATATAGCTCTTTATTTTAGGTTTTCTTGAGGGAGTAGGGAAGAATCACATGGTTCAATATACAATAAGTCTTCCTGGGGCTGTTTATTTCCTTTGACTCTTCCCAAAGTCCTACTTTTCTTAGTAGTTGCCTAACTATTCTTCCCAGTTCTCCATTCCCCATCTTTGTCACTATATCTTTGTCTCTTACTCTGTTTCTCCATATCCTCTCCTCCTCTCTCTTCCTCTGTTTCTTTCTCCTCACATGCTGGTCCTCCTCTCCTTCTCACGAACGTCCATACAGCTTTTTCTTGTAGAGAAATTTGGTCTGTCCTCAATTTCTGCCGTTCTTCACTCCTTCACTGTTCCTCCCCATCACACAACAAAAACCTGTTTGTACCCTTCATTTATTCAGCACAGGCTTCCTCTTTGGGAATGAGTGGCAGGAGATTTTTAATTTTTTCTTTTGTTGTTGTCATACTCTTCTATAGATACACTGGCTGCTTCAACAAGCACCAATATATAATGGTTTAAACACATTATGATTTATTTTTTATCCATAGAAAGTCCAAATAGGTATTTTAGGTTGGTAGATGGCTCTCTTTCAAGGGGTGGTTTATGGACTCAGGCTTCTTCTACCCTGTGATTCTGCCGTCCTTAATGTATGGCATCCAAGGCCACCATACTAATATGCATGAACCTGCACAAGGGACAAAAGCATGGAGGATCATGAGTGAGAGTTGTTTTTATTTATTTTAATTGAGATATAACATTGTGTTAGTTTTATGTGTACAGATGTGTGAGAGGTTTTTATGGGCCAGTCTCAAAAGTGGTGCACATCACTTCTACTTACATTCCATTCGGTAGCCCTTTAGCCACGTGACCACTCCTAACTGTAAGGGAGGCTGGGAAATATAATCTGGCCGTGTGCTAGAAGACAAGAAAATAGGTGATTGGCTAGTCTTTCTCATACCTTATCTACAGTTTGATACAATAGAGTTCTTCCTTTACTACAAGTCTTTCCTATTCACTGACAGTTTATTAGAAATGTCTAGATGTTGCAGACATTAACTGCCTCCTGCTTAGCAACCTGAATTTTGGCATTTAGGACATCTTCATTACTTCCATATAACTGTCTATATAATGTTTTACCTCAAACCAAAACAGAGCCTGACACATTTGTTGCTTAGAGAAAATTTGTTGAATTAACTGAATGCATAATTTATCACCCCATGCCTCACCAGTATCCCTTCTTTTATAGAAATATCTTTGGTAGAAAAGAACATTTGATATTAGCCAAAAGATGAATCCTTCTTTGGTAGCTGAGATATCGATGGTCTATACAGCTCCTATAATTTGCTTCCCTCGCCTAGAAAGACCATACTGTTTTACTGAGGACTAATTGTTTTTGTACTGGGTATGGGGAAAGGAAATCTGAATCAAAGGTAGCTTTTAAGAGCAGATGTCTTGAATGCATGGATTATTTAGTCAACACTTTGAAAGATTTTATAAGTCAGTCTCCTTTTTATAGTTGTTTAGAGGGTTAGATCTCCTTATACCACACAAGTGGTAGAAGTGCTGTCAGCTAAAGGCCTTTTTGTTAGTTTGCTATTTCTTTCATCAGGTCGTACTTTTCTTAGCTATTAACCAGGTTCTATTCCAGATATGGGGAACATAAACATGAATAAAACAGTTTCTGCTCTCAAATTCCCAGTTTCATGATTGTGGTTGGGGTGGCAGATATGTAAATAATAATAAAAATTTATGCTGTTTTCTAATAAGTGATAAATTTACAGTTTCTGAGAGAACAGGAGGAGGGAAATTACTTTATTCTTGACTAATCAGCAAAGGCCTACCTAAAGCCTGTGCCTCACAGATGGGAGGGCTCATCCACGTAATCCCAACTGAGAACAGGACAGCTTCATCTATACCCTGCTCCTGTGTTGCCTCTACTACACTGGGTTAGAGGCCATCTTGAAATAGATGGATATATTCCTTAATTTCCTACCTTCATATTCAAGAGGGGTATTATCTGCTTTATCTAGAGAGAAGGGAGAGGGAAAGGTCTTACCTGGGCAAGGCTGAGCAAAGGTCAATGATGGACATTCTTTTGAGCCTCTGACAGAGACATTTCTAACCATTAGAGTCTATTCTTGGACTGCATCTTTTATATTAACAGAGACCTAACTGCAATGTAATAAATTAGATCTTGGCAGTATTGCTATGGCTTCTCTCTATATATTTTTAGAAAAGATTAATTAAATTTAGGCTAACTGCGTCATTCGGATAATTCAGCAACTCAGTCAGTAGTCCTCTCTTCTTCAGGAACAGAAAGATCAAATACAGAGTTGTTTCACCTACTTTTAAAATTCTGCCGTATCTGTCATGCCCTGCTACAATAATATTTCTTTCATATCTGTTACAAATTGACCTGTGGCAACTCCTATTCTCACTTTGGAATTTCTTTCTGTATTCAGATTTAATGAGGTAAAGTGAAATAATTTTACTAATCGTTTCTTTAGTTTTTTAATTATATGTCATTTATAATTTGGTTTAATATAGAGAAGTATATAAGATAAAAGAAAAATGACCCATGCCACTACACTGAAACCTCTATTAATATTAAAAATAAAATTCATAGATTTAGATAATAGAAAAGTCAAAAATAGTACTGATAGGTATAAAATGAAAGTCTGGCTTTTCCTACTGCCCCACCCCTGTCTTCTCTCCTAGATGACCACTCCTTAAAAGTAAGCACTGTTAGTAGTTCCATAGCATTTCTTTTAGAAACATTTACATATACATACCAGCATTTGTGTGTATTTATTTTTTACTCCACTCAATAATTTTGTTCATTTTTTTATTCGTCAAAAAAATTGTTGAGCACTCATTCAGTGGCAAGCAGAATTTAGAGCCCTAGAGATAGCCACAGTGAACGAAACAGAAAAGATCTCTCCTCTCATGGCACTTAGAATCTAGGTGGGAAAGAGAGACCAAAAAATATAAAATAAGTGAACAAGTTGACTTTAATGTGTTCAAAGTGCTATAAAAGTGATACTATTAGGTAAGGTGGTTAGTGAAGGCTTCTGGTTATACAGTTTATTAAATTCAACTGAAAAAAAAAAAAAGAAAAACAATGGACTGACTCAAGTAATGCCTGACTATGCTATTTTTATTTCTAAAGGCGAAGCCCCACCTGACATCCAGCTGCCCACACCTGCAGTCCAGCGCCCAAGCCCCATCACACTTTTTCAGCCCAGCGTCTCCAGTACTGCCCAGGTGGCCGTCCAGGCTCCAAATCTGCCCCTCCGCCCAGCACTCCCCACCCAGCGCTTTGCTGGGCCCTCCCAAACGGACACTCATCGGCTGCATTCCGGAGCCAATCGCTCTGTGAAGAGACCCACACCTGTCTCTCTGGAGAGCACCAACAGGATTCCAACTAGTGCAAGTACTGCCCATGCCAGATTTGCAACCTCAACCATCCCACCTCCCAAGGAGTATCCCAGCGTTTCCACTTGTCCCAGAAGTGCTCCAATCCCCCAGGCTCCTCCTATTCCACACTCACATGTCTACCAGCCCCCTCCCCTTGGCCATCCAGCCACGCTGTTTGGGACCCCACCGCGATTCTCTTTTCATCACCCTTACTTCCTACCTGGACCTCACTACTTTCCATCAAGGTAAATGAACCTTTTTTTTCTTTCACCTTAAAAATACATACAGCCAATGAATTTTACCTCTGAAGGTATCTCTTTATTACCGAAAAAGAGACTTCCTCAATTCTGCTTGGACTATAACTTAAATTAGAGGCTGAATAGGGGCCAGACAGTTAACATGAATATATGAAGTGGGCCAGATGTGGACTGGGGGAGGTTCTGCAGATTCATGCACCTTAATATAGTGGCCTTGGATGCCACATGTTAAAGATGGCAGAATCACAGGGTAGAAGAAGGCTGAGTCCATAAATCACCCCTTGAAAGAGAGCTATCTACCAAGAAACATCTAATGGGACAGCTGCTTATTCAGTTCTAGCTGACTGTTGCCACATGAAATATGGGATACACTGTTGTAAGATCTGATTTATGAGAAAATTAGTCATAAGAAAAATTAAGATCATATAGTCAACCCCCCTTAGTGTATAGAGCTGTTTTTTTTCACATGTGATCTTATTAGAATACAAATTCTGAGTCAGTAGTTCTGGGGTACGGTAGTATCCTATACTAGAGTATAGTACACCTGATATTAATTCTAATAAGCTCCCAAATGATGCCAATTCTGCTGGTTTGTGGACCGCACTTTGAATAGCAAGGGTATAGAGACAAACACTTGGTCTGAGAAGTTAGATGACTTGTCCAAAGTTATACTCCCTCTCAGAATCCCTTTTAACCAAAAATTTCCCATATAAATTACCAGGCAAGGAATTGATTATCATAGGGAAGTATATAGGGAAAACAAATTTGTCACTTTTCATTTTGGCATGATAGAATTTAACTCCCTTGCAAGCATTCTAATAGAGCGGTATTAACCTCTACTTTTCAATTGCTGTTAAATGTGTAGACAGAGATAGTTTCTGTTAAGATTGGAGTGTTAATTGTTTAACACCAGTCTTCTATTGTTATTTAGAAAATAAAACTACTCCCCACTTAGGTATACCAATGCCTCAATGAAAGAACTTTTGAGGTACATATTGTGTTGCTTCATTTCATGACGGGATTGCTTGCTTTCAAGTCCTTAGCCCAGGATTGAAAGAAAGTGAAAGTAGGAATTGAGATCAGGAGGAAGGGAGATTTCCCTATCTGTGGTTTTGTTTTTCCCGTAGGTTCTTTTTATATTTAGCAGTTTTCAGAAATCTTTTAGTTCAAGAAATCAAACCTCATGATTTTGTCTCCTATGGTCAGGGGTTGATAATCTCTTATTGCTCTCTGCCAGGGTTGGAGATTTTATAGGAATTTTAGAGAATTTTACAGTGTTTTCTTCATATAAGAAGAGTGCTAAGGACATAGCTGGAATTTAATAAATGAGTAGGTTCGAGATGAGCCTTAGAATGTCAAGGTCTACACACTAAAATTGCAGAAATTTTCTCTGTGCTATGTAATTAATTTTGTAATATAGGAAGGACTTGGACTCACAGGAAAGGAGTTAAAGACATCTAGAAGAGGTTGTGCCCCACAAGTTCACTCTAATTGCTAATTTTTTTTCTTTTTAACATTTTGAGAGGTAAGCATTTTTACATGTAATTCTCAAAACAATACTGTGACTTGGGTATAATACTCCCCCACTTTTTCAGATAATGAAATTGACCAGATGTTAAACATTTTCGTTAAGGCCAAACAACTAGAAAATGGCTTAGTTTGCCTATCTGATTTTGAATTCCGTTTGTTATTTTCATTATATTAGTAGGGCTTCTCAATATAATGGCTCTTCTTGATTGGCAGCTTTTAGTTGCTAGCAGAGAATTACATAGAAAATACATATTTTGAATGGAAAAGTCATGTTAGTCAAGTGGACTTTGAGGCAGGTAATGTTTCCTTATACAATAAATAGATAAAATCATAGGAAGTTTATCTCCTTTATTCATGACAAGGCTTATAGGAGTTGTCTGGTAATGTACAGATCATCTGATAACTTAACGTTTTAAAAGGAAGAGCTCTAGAAAATAAGTCCTTAGAAGACAGAAACTATACCTTTTTCTTTAATGCCATATTGCTAATTAATAATGATGCTATTAGAGGAAACAAATGAATTAATAATAGTATACTGAATTTTATTTTATTTAAGAATGTCAAAGCAGTATGTCAACTATAAACATTAAGCTGTATCTAGTTTCCAAAACAGACTAGTCTTATAAATTATAATTTTGTTTGACTACTTTTCTAACTTCTATCCGTGTGTATGTCATGATAATTTCTCCCAAGGAAATGGATAATCTTATTTATGTTTGTTTAGATAGTATATTTCAGTAAAATCTAGCCTGGCTAAATGACAAAATTAATTGGTATGCCCTGAATTTTTCTATTATCTCTTCTCCCAACTGGTAACAGAATCTTCTATAAAGAAATTCTCCCCTAATCTAATTCACTTATGTGTAGACTTATTCAGCCATTTCAGTATCATAATCGATATGACATTTGACATGTACATCAAATATATAAATATATATCAAATATACATATTTTCCAAGCAGTCCTTTTTGCCCTGTGTATCTAGAGTAAAAATCAAAGAGCTTAGTTAGTTTAATCAAAGAGTCATTTTAGAGGGTGGCTCCATAGTATAGTGGTTAGTATGTCTGCTTTAGATGCAGCAGGTCCTGAGTTCACACCCCAGGTGGAGCCATGGGCCAGCAGGCCCCAGGTGCACCTGAGCATTGTGAGTGTGTGGGAGGAGACGCCCCGCCTTCAGAGATCCTGTTCTTAAGGGGAGAAGGCAACATCCATAGGTCAGGGAGTGGAAGGGGTGGGGGGTGGCGGTGGGCAATTAAAGAGGGGGAAAAAAATTCTAGGGAATATTTAAAAAAAAAAAAAAAAAGAGTCATTTTATAAAACAGATGGATACTCAGAAGTGCTGATCCCTAGCTCTGAGAGGTAATATCACCTTCCTTCAAGTCTTAACCATCTCCATACTGTGCTTATTGAAACACTCTCTGTATTATGTTAATTCCTTGATTAGTTCTTTTTTTCTCCCCCAACCCTTTCTTTTCCTCTTCCTCTTCCTTGCAGTATTTATACTTTTACATGTAAAGGAGATATCTAGGATCTTCATTCTGTTAGCCATTGAGTGAATAAATGTGTTTGTCTATTGCAGTTATGGATGTAGAAAGGATATGAAAGAAAAATGAGGATTTTTTCACTTAAAATATGTAGGAAATACAATATATATATACATACACATATACATACATACATATATATGGGAAAGTAAGTCCAAAGAATTCCCAGATTTGTGAGAATATATAGCATCTTCATTGTAAAATTTCAGGCAACAAAGGTTAAAAGCAATTATCCTTAACCTTTGTTTGCATTATAGACCTATTTAAAAATTTGATTGAATTTGTGAACCTGCTTCCCATAATAATACACATCTACAGACACATACAATCTTTTGCCTAACCCTTGTGGAGGAGGGAACTTACAAGTCGCCAAACTGAATAGACTTAGCTAACATGGAATACCTTCCGCTATAACTTACTAGGTATGTGGAATTTAAAGTTGAACGACTTAATACCTAGCTAAACTCATCATTTCCTTTGCCGTATGGAAGCTTTTTAGTTTGATATAGTCCAATGCGCTTATATTTGCTTTTGGTGTCAAATTCAAAATATCACCAAGACCAATGTCAAGGAGCTTACTGCCTCTGTTTTCTTCGTGTAGTTTTATGGTTTCAGGTCCTATGTTTAAGTCTTTATAATCCATTTTGAGTTTATTTTTGTGTTAATGTATAATATTGGGGTCTGGTTTCATTTGTTTGCATGTAGCTATCTAGTTTTCCAGCACCATATATTGAAGATGTGACTTCTCTCCGTTGTACATTCTTGGCTCCTTTGTTGTAAATCATTTGAGCACATGTGGGGTTATTTCTGGGCTCTCTATTCTGTTTCACTGATCTATGTGTCTGCTTTTATGCCAATATCATACTGTTTTGGTTATTATAACTTTGTAATATAGTTCAAAGTCAGGGAGTGTAATGCCTCCCAGTTTGTTCTTCTTTCTCAAGATTGCTTTTTGGCTATTTGAGGTCTTTTGTGGTTCTACACAAATTTTAGGATTGTTTGTACTATTGCTCTGAAATATGCCATTGGAATTTCGATAGTGATTGCATTAAATCTGTAGATTGCTTTGGATAGTTTAGAAATTTTAATGATATTATTTTTTCCAATCTAGGAACATGGAATGTCTTTCCATTTATTTGTGTTTTCTTCCATTTCTTTCATGAATGTCTTGTAGTTTTCAGTGTATAGGTCTTTCACTTCCTTGGTTAAATTTATTCCTAAATGTTTTATTATTTTTAATGCAATTATAAATGGGATTGTTTTCTTAATTTATTTTTCAGACAATTCATTGTTAATGATAGAAATACAACTGATTTTTGTATATTGATTTTGTATCCTGCCCCTTTACTGAATTCATTGATTAGTTCTAACAGTTTTTTGGTGACATCTTTAGCATGCCATCTACAAATAGAGACAGTTTTATTTTTTCTTTTCCAATTTGAATGTCTTTTGCTTCTTTTTCTTGGCTAATTGTTCTAACTTGGATTTCTAATACTATATTGAATAAAAGGGGCAAGAGTGGGCATCTCTTTGTCTTGCTCTTGATCTTAGAGGAAATGCTTTCTTCTTTTCAATGTTGAATATGATATTGTCTATAATACATAACTTTAAATAATGGATAGATCATTCATCCAAAAATGAAGATCAGTAAGGAAATAGAAGACTGTACACCACTGTAAACCAACTAGATCTAACAGATATATTTACTCCACCCAACAACAAAAAATAGATTCCTCTCAAATGCACATGGTATATTCGATAGGATAGACCATAAGTTAGATCACAAAATAAGTCTCAAAAAACTTTAAAAAGTTGAAATCATACAAAGTTTCTTTTTCAACCACGATGAAATGAATCTAGTCATAACAGAAAGAAAACTGGAAAATTCACAAATATATGGAAATTAAATAACACACTCTTAAACAACCAGTGAATCAAAAAAGACATCATGAGGGAAACTACAAAATAATTTGAGATGAATGAGAATGAAAACACACCAAAATTTAAGAGATTTTATAATGAAAGCAGTGCTGATAAGGAAGTTTATAGTTGCAATGGCCCATATTTAAAAAGAAACATCTCAAGTCAACAACCTAACTTTATACCTTAAGGAACTGAAAAAAAGAACAGCAAAGAAAACCCAAAGCTGGCAGAAGGAAAGAAATAATAATGGTTTGAGTAGAGATAAATAAAATAAAGAATATAAAAACAATAGATAATTTAATGAAATAGAGAAAAGAAAGCCAACAAAAGTTGGCTTTTTGAAAAGATCAACCAAATTGGCAAACATTTAGTTAGACTAAGGAAAAAAGAAAGAAGACATGAATTACTAAAATCAAATATGAAATTGGGTATATTACTTCTGAACTTACAGAAAAAAAATGATTATAGGAGAATACAATGAATAATTGTACACCAACAAGTTTGGTAACCTGGATGAAATGGACAAATACATGAATTACCAATACTGACTCAAGTAGAAACAGAAAATCTGACAGACCTATATCAAGAGATTGAATCAGTAATCGAAAACCTCCCAACAAAAAATAAGCTCTGAACTAGATAGCTTCACTGGTGAATTCTACCAAACATTTAAACAGGAATTAACATCAGTGCTCTCAGTGTAAGAGGGAACACTTCTATAGCCAACATTACTCTGTTACCAAAGCCAGACAAAGATATTACAAGAAAGAAAATTACAGGCCAATATATCTTAAGAATCTAGATGTAAAATATACTGAACAAAATACTAGCACCCTAAATCTAGCAGCAAAGTAAAAAGGATTATGCATCAAGATCAAGTGGAATTTACTCCAGTAATATATATGTGTGGTTCAACATCTAAAAATCAATGTAATATACATCATTGATAGAATGAAGGAACAAAACCACCTGATCATTTAAGCTGATGCAGAAAAAAACATTTGGTAAAATGCATTGCCTTTTCATGATAAAAATCAATTTCTGATTTCAAAACTTATTCAATAAACTGAGAATAGAAGGGAACTTCCTCAGCATGGTAAGGACTTTTATCAAAAGTCCATATATAATATCATACTCAATGATGAAGGACCAAAGCTTTTCCCTGAAAGAACAGGAACAAGACAAGGATGCCCACTTTTATTACTTCTATTCAACATTGTACTAGAAGTTCTAGCCAGAACAATTAGGTAAGAAAAAAAGACATCCAAAATGGAAAAGAAATAAAATTATCTCTATTCACACATGACTATACATAGAAAATCTTATATGTATATATAAAATCCTAAAGAATCTACAGAAATTAGAGCTAATGAATGAATTCAGCAAAGGTGCAGGGTATAAGATCAATGTACAAAAATCACTTGTATTTCTTCTGTACATTAGCAATTATCAGTGAGAAAAATCCAAAAAGGATATTAAGAAAACAATTTCATTTATAGTAGCATCAAAAATAATAAAATGCTTAGGAATAAATCTAACCAAGGAGGTGCAAGACTTGTAAACTGAAAAACAAACATTGCTGAAAGAAGTTAAAGAAGACCTAAATAAATGGAAAGGTGTCTGTGTTCATGCATTGGGAGGCTTACTATGTTACAGTGGCAATACTTTCCAAAGTAGTATACAGAATTATAATCTCTCAAAATCCTAAAGGTTTTTTTTGCAGAAATGGAAAAGTTGATCCTAAAATTCATATGGGATTGTGACTCAAAATAATTAAAACAATCTTGAAAAGGTACAAAATTGGAGGACTCACAATTCCTGATTTAAAACTTATTACAAAGTTACAATGTCAAACAATGTATGTATCAAGAGAATGAGAAGATAAGCCACAGATTGGGAGAAAATATTTGCAAAAGATATAACCGATCAAGGACTGTTATCCAAAATACAAGGAACTCTTAAAACTCAACAATAAGAAAATGAGCAATCTGATTAAAAATGGACAGAAGATCTGAATGGATACCTCACTGAGGAAGATATACAGATGGCAGTGAAGCCATGAAGAGATGTTGTACGTCAAGTATCACTAGGGAATTGCAAATTTAAACAACAAAGAGATACTACATGCATATCAGAATTGCCAAAATCCAAAACACTGACAACACCAAATGCTGGTAAAGACGTGGAGCAAAGGAAACTCTTAATTCATTACTGGTGGGAATACACAGTGGTACAACCACTTTGGAAGACAGTTTGGCAGTTTCTTACAAAACTAAAAATGCTCTTACCATATGATCCAGCAGTCATACCTCTTGGTATTTATCCAAATGAATTGAAAACTTATGACCAAGAAAAAACCTGCATATATGGATGTTTATAGCAGCTTTATTCATAAGGTGAGTAGATAAATAAATGGTGGTACATCTAAACAATGGAACATTATTCAGTGCTAAAAAGAAATGAGCTATCAAGCCATGGAAAGGTATAGAGGAACCTTACATGCATATTATTAAGTCAGAGAAGCCATGAATAATTTATTTTTGCCTATTTACCATTTTGTTATAGAAATTTTCATATGCAAAGCAGATGGAATAGTATAATGAATCTTCATGTACCCATCACCCAACATCAACAATTATTTACATTTAAGCTATTCTTTGTTCATTTCTTTCCCCTAGCTTTGGGTGGACAGTGTTTTAAGTGTTTTAAAATGAATTACAGATATCATATAATTTCACCTGCAAATATATCAGCATGTATATTTACTAGTTAAGGACTCAAAAAAATTACCACCTACCATTTTCATATAAATGTTAATAATTCCTTATTTTTAATTTCCTCCATTGTCTCAGAACTCTTTTCACAATTGATAAAACAAGATCCAAGCAAGGAATACACTTTGGATGTGATTATGTCTCTTAAGCATCCTTTATGCTATAGTAGTACTTATCCTTTTTTTTTTAATGTCATATATTTATTGAAGAAACAAGATACTATCCACATTCTGGATTTGGCTTATTACATCCTTGTGTATGGTTTAACATGTTTTCTTATCACCCATTTTTTCCTATAAAATGATTGTTAGATCTTGCAACTTGTTTAGATTCAGGTTCAATTTTATTTTTTCGACAGTGAGACCTCACGGGTGGTGCTGTGTACTTTGTATCACATCAAGAGGTACATAAAGTTTTTATTAGTAATGTTAAGAATGATCTGTAGGTTCAGGTATTATCAGTCTGGTTATAAGTTTCCCTACCTAAAACAGTACTTACTTCTTAATTCTTATCTGTATAGTAGCATCACTTGAAAAACTCAGAACAAATAAATCAGAATCTTTGGGAATTAAAACCTGGGCAGCAGTGTTCTTTAAAAGTTTTCCCTAAGTTATTCTAATGATTGCCTAAGGTTGAGAAATACCAGCATAATTATATTAGTAGCTATGGTGATTGTTACCTAGATCCATGAGATTGCAAAATGGAGATCTTCTAATTTGATATATTTTTTTCATTCATTAGCTAAAATTCTTTTATGAAGAAAAACTTTCCCTCATCACTTTGAAATACAGGAAGGGCAGAATCAACTCTCGATTCTTTCCCCATATCAATGAGTCTTATTTTGTTTTGAGAATATCATTATGAACAAGTGGACTTTTATATATTTGGTATGTTTCAATCAATACCTTGCAGTCATTATTTATTGTATTTTTTGATGCTCAAAATTTCCCTTTTTTTGTCCAGTTGTCTGGCTGCAAGTTGGCTCCTTTGGTTTGATAGCTTTTTTTTGCTCTTGGACACAGTATGTCCCAGGCTCATCTTGTACTTTATCTGTATGAGACCTGAAATCAGCCATTTTACCCAGAAGTCCAAGTTTCTTTTACTGAAGGTGGTATTTATAAATCACACTTGAGGCAATAAGGATGCTTATTGCTACTGAATAACAGAGTATCTGAGCTTTTCAGTGGAAAATATGAGAAAATATGTATTTTTTTGTGAGAAAATATGAGTTCGTATTGATATTTCCAAAATAAATGTAATATAGTTTCAAATGAAGTTCTTTGACTTTATGTGCTAGTATCTTTTGCTCCTAAAAATCTTTGTTCCTAACGATAATAATATCATCATTTATTTGCTTTATCCTACCAAACATGTTTCCTTTCCTTCTTGTATATACTCGTATATACATGAAGAGAGAGTATAGTTTCAAAACAATGATATCAGTAGTTTCAAAGCAGCAATATCACAAACAACAAAATTACTGTATGCAGTTTAAAATTTATTTGTGATTCTTTTTCTTTATATGTTATGCATTACCATGAAGGTATAATGAAACTATCAGATTTAAAATACCTTGAAATAATGTTTCTCTCTGTATTTAAGACATCTACAACTTGATGTAAACTTGAGTTTATTTGCTTTCAATTTTTAAAATATTAAATTTGTTTAAAATTATATAAAATATTTATATGGTTTCAAAGTCAAAACCATAATATAAGGTATATTCTGAGAAGTCTAGCTTCTCTTCCTGTCTCCTCCCCTCTTCTTTCTCTACTCTTATAAAGGTAACCATTTTAATTAGATTTTGTTTTATCTTTGCATTTTTTCTTTTTGAAAATAAAAATATGCATGTATGTATATATTTACCAATACATTATTAAATGTAACTTCTTGTGAGACTGTTTCTAGTTTCCAAAGTACTCATACACATCCCCTCCCAAATTCTTTATGATAGACCTTTTAAGTTGACAGAACAGGCAGTATTATCCCTATTTAATATAAGGAGGACCTAACGCTCAGATAAATTAAGATTTACTTATGATTATCAGATTTGTAAGTGGCACAGCTAGAACTAGTACCCAGGTAGTGTGGCATGGTGGTTGAGAGAACAAGTTCTAGGGTCAGATTGCCTGATTCTGTTCTACTACTTACTAATTACATGACTTTTAGCAAATCTCTTTAAAGCTCTGTTCCCTCATCAGTAAAGTGGAGATATTGTAGTATCTATCTCACAGACTCGTTCTAAGGAATATTAGAGATAACATGTAAATTCCTTAGCCAATGCCTAGAAAACATAGTTAATACTTATTGCATGTTGGCTAATACTATTCTGATAATTCTATGTGGTGCTTTTCCCACTACACCATAATGCCTCTATAGTTATTCATTTTCATTCATGTAACTTTCTAGGATTACTTTTGTCTTAATTGACCTTTTTGTTCTCTGGATATAACACTAACTTGTTTTTAACACACCAATATAGCCATATGATATTTGCATTTTAAATTTTAGCAACTGCCTAGTATATATCTAGATTTTAGACCTTTTTAAAAAAAACTTTCTACCAAGCCTTGAATAGTATCTTGCCGACATTGATTTCTGAAAACAGTAGTGGTTAAATTGTTTCTAGCTGATGTGAACACTTTGTGGAGGAGGTAGATTTGAACTCCCCCTTGAAGTACCTGTGGAATTCAATGGATGGAGAGACCTAAAGGTGGAAGAGTTGCAGGAGCAAAGTCATGGTAGCTGGCAGTATCGTGCGTTCAGGACATATACATTAACTTAAAGATGCCCAAATGAGGCAGTAAGAAGGGAAACCTGAAATATTTTAGAAACTTTACCTCATATTTGGGTTATTTAACATTGGGCAAGGTCCCTAGCACTTGGATATTTGGGGATGGGACACCAAACCACTGAAGATAACCATACTTTCAAAGAGTTTGAGATGATGGTCTTATATGTCGATCATACTTACATCTTTAAAGGGAAGGAAACAAAATTGACTTTTTTTTCTTTTTAATGTGGGAGCATGAAATGAAACATCCATCTTGTCATGGGTTTTGCTAGTGTGATCATTATGTTTATGTTATCTGTCACTAGGTGGAGTCCATGATCCCAGGAAACTCTTGGTTGGACTTTTCTATATACCTCTTTCTATGATTCCTGTTCTGTGCCTTTGTAAAGGAGAATAAATACTTTAAAATTTAAAAAAACTTGACAAATAGATTTGAATGGCATAATTTTTACATTTGCTTTTTTAAAATGTCAATTTTTTGCCTTTTAAAAAATCATCAAAATAATCTTTTCAATTGTTCACATTTCTGCCCTCCAAAAATTGTTTTTTGAAAAGATCTTTAGAATCACATTTTAATATCAGTTCTAAATCTTTCTGGTATTAAGAATGTTTTTAATTTACTTCATAATTGAATGTCAATTAAAAAGTTATCGTCATCTGTTCCAGGACTTCCCCAGAAGCTCTTGATTTCAACCCAATTAGACATTGTCCCCTGATAAGCTTTGTTTCAAATTCCAGTTAGAACAATCACTGTGTTGCTTACTGTCACTTTTTAGCACAGCACAACATAGCCTGCATTTCCAAAACCTCACATGGTGTAAAACATGAAAGAAAGGCCCAGAGAAGCAATTTTTTCTAATCAAGGCTATCAAAAAGAAGCCTGAGCTGATAATAGATAATACTGCTAGTGAGTATTACAGGCACAAGCTTACTTTGCCATTTATTTTATGTCAGGGCTAAGCAGTAGTAAAAGAGCCAATAATACGTGAAATGCTAGCAGAAAGTTATCTTGAGAACTTTCCAGGCCCCAAAGAGGATGCAGTTAAATTTGATCAATTAGTCTGTATGCAAGGCAACATGTAGGCGAGGTATGATCTAATTCCTTTTTTGTCTTTCTGCTACAGCACGTGCCCTTATAGTCGGCCTCCCTTTGGCTATGGAAATTTTCCAAGTTCAATGCCAGAATGCCTTGGTTATTATGAAGACAGGTACCAAAAACATGAGGCTATGTTTTCAGCTTTAAATAGAGACTATCCTTTTAGAGACTACCCAGATGAACGCACACACAGCGAAGATTCTCGGAGCTGTGAGAGCATGGATGGGACCTCTTACTATAACAACCATAGCCACAGTGGGGAAGAATACCTAAATCCCATGCCACAGCTGGACATTGGAGCCTTGGAGAACGTCTTCACAGCCCCGACGTCAACTCCCTCTAGCATCCAGCAAGTCAATGTCACTGATAGTGATGAGGAGGAAGAAGAAAAAGTGCTCAGGAATTTATAATTTTAAAACAAATATGCACAGAAAATAAACATTTCTTAAAATACATTCTGGGTCAGTCGGTGTGAGAAAAAAGCCTAGAATGCTTTGCTGAGAGTTTTCAGCCATGATTTGAGGAGTCAAACCAAATGCATTTATGCTTTCATAAAGTTTATTAGTGAAACTGGAGTCCTGTTGTTTCATCGTAGGAATATTTAAGATATGAAGTAGTTTATTTTTATGGCGGAAATTTGCATCAACATATATTATCATCACTTTATCTTGGCATGTGCAAAATACCAAATCCTCACAATTATATGTGAGGGAAAAAGGAGTACATATCTGGCATGACAAGTGTGATTGTATTTTATCTCAGGATACATTTATTTACTTTTATTACATGATTTTTTGTTTGGTATTTATGTAATACTTATGGATGTTGTCAGTTTTTATGTAACATTTTGAAAATATGTCGATAACTTTTGTAGTGAATTGGGACTCAGTTACTAAATTTAATTTACATTGATAGCCAATTATAAGTTGCAAATGTGTTTTAACAGCACTTGGGTAATTCCTTCAGCTAAATTAGGCATTTCTGTTTGTAAACATTTTCATCATCTTTTTTGGATATCTTTTTCCATTTGATATGCATTGTTCTTCTTTTGTTATAAATGAATAAACAGATAAAATTGTTCTTGTTGGATGTCTTCTCTTTAGGGTTTAGAAATAAGCAAAGTGAGTATTTATTGTTCAAATGATGATGATTTCCATACCACATACCGATATTTACTTATACATAATAGTCTCCAGAATTGCACAGGTCCTGTTAGCTTACATGAGACTTAAAACTGTGTTAACAGAGATGTTGTGCACATATTCCGATGCCATTTCCAAACCCTTTACACATGTGTACATGTGACTTAAGCACTCCTCAGAATGGAAGAGCTCTTCCAGACTTGGTTCAAGCAGCTGTCTTTAAAACCATGGAGTTCATGTAAGAGCATATGGAATTTGTTTAATCCACAATGAACAAAAAAAAATCCTACTTGCAATGTGACTTCTTGGTAAGTGCCCACTTATGGACGGAGAGAACCTTTTTAGAATGGGATCAGGACCATAAGAGATGGGATCATGGTAAAAGAGATCCACAAGACACAGAGTGAATTGATGATCGGAAAGAGCCACAAACCAATACACTTTTTTCCTCAATGATCTGTATAATTTATGCACATTGAGATCTTGTTACTTAAAACGGCTTAGAAATTGTGTGTGGTAACCTGTTCTAGGCTTTTAGCTTCTTATTAAATCCGTGTTTGTTCCCTAAGCAAAGATTGTTAATTTAATACGTTTCATCAACCTTATACTTAATTGTATGTAAAATTTCCTCTTCCCAATAAAAATTTTATTTTTATATTTTATATTTTTTATTACTCTGTGCAATGTCATTTCAATGTAGTTAAAGAGCAAATCTGAATTTCTTGGTAGAAAGCAAACATGAACTTCACATCAGAACTTAATGTTTGATTGTCTTCACATGTGATGTCTACACCATGAAGGAAAAATGTATCCAACAATTTGACTCATTTTACCCCATTTTATTTTAATAACACTTTGTTGACTAAACTGGGTTTGATCACATACCTTATTCTTAAGACAATTTGGTTAGGGGCATCCCTGTGTAATGATACAGAGCATGGTTCATTGTTTCCTAACTACCAGTCTCCAGGCTATCCCTGCACCACCAATTCCTTCCCCAATCTTTCTAGTGGCTGTTAAGGCTGGGCAACTTTTTAAATCTTCCTCAGTGCTAGGATCAGAAGTCAGAAGTTTTGATTGTTTACAGATCCACAGTATAATTTGGGCTGAGAAATATTGGTAGCTCTTATGTAGAAAAGTAGTCTGTTGCAGATAAGCATGCATAACTACAAACCACTGTTGCCTCAAACCACTGTTGGCTCTTATTAGAGATCTATAGACTTAACAAATCCCTGCCCCGTTCACACTAATTCATCTGCCTCTCCAAGTCATCAAAATAAAATTCTCTAAGCTTGAAGCTACAACCACTTGCTAATATGTCTCATTGCCTTGTTCTTATTATAATTTGAAAGGTAATGATATTTGTAATAAGAATAGCCTCTTTTAAAAGTGTTGAAATGTTAGTATGTTTAGAATGTCAAACTGCTCTGTGCCTATTTGCAAATAAAAACTCTTTTCACTGCAAATAGACTGAAAACAGATTTAGTCCCAACTTTCAAGTAGCTGACTTCTCAAATTTAAACAGGAAAGAGCAATATTTCTCTAAGTGTTAGTTGGAAACCAAGACTTTTAGGTATTCTAATGATATGTGGTCAAAAAAGTTTGAGAAACACATGCTATGCCTCCACTTTGGAGAGTGTCAGTTATCATTGTTAAGGTTCTCAAAAGTCTCGTGGTGAAGAAACATTCTAAACTCTGTTTATCACAGTGCTCCAGGAATTTATTTAGCTTGAGAACCCCTTTTCATTCTACATAATGTCTACTGACATCTCATAGAATCCACTCTAGACAATAGTAATACAATTAGAGCTGGTGGCTTTGATTTTCAGCTGTTGACTTCACCTATGGTTTTCTATATTGGTCTCCTTAAATCTTTTACTAAGAGAAGGCGGTGGCCAAATGTTTTCTGCACTAAGTATCTGATGGTCTTAAAAGACTGAAGAACTGAAACTATAGTTGTAAATTGTTGCTGTTTACTAAATTGGATTTTTAATAAGAGTTGATATTGTACCTAAGAATTTAATTGGGCAAATGTGCTAAATTTTCACAGTGTAAACCAGCTGTCAGTATGATTATTCTTGAGCCAAAAGTATAAGCTATTTTTGAAAGTTGTAGTTTGGAACTGATTTAGAAAAGAAATTCTGGGGATTCTATGAGTTACAATATTTTAAAGTAGTATAATTTTAATGTGGGCAGGCAGGGTAATTCTGAAATTTTTCTGTTCTACATTTTGGAACATTCTGCTGAAGCACATCCTTTTTTAGCTTTCTGAATCATCTTTTTAGGGTTTCAGAAAAATTCCAAAGGCTTCACAATAAAATTAATACTGAAGTAAAACTAAAACTTAACTAAAATTAAATGTAAAAGTTACTTTTGATCAAGTAATTCTACTTGATGAAAAATTTCAAGATATTTACTCTTTATTTCTATGTTCTGCATCCTGATTTCCTGACCCAGCCTCACTTGTCTCCTTTCTGATAGTAAAACACACAAAAATCTTAGTAAACTTTTCACTAAGTGATGAATGCTTACAGGAAACCAGGGAAGATGGGGAGGGCTGTTTTCTACACCTTTATGTCTCTGGCTCCTTCTCTGAAACCACTTCAGGGAAATGTTTTATTTCTAAAAATAATGAACAGCATCTTACATGTATTCTTTTTAAAAGAAGATCTTTTAAAAACTAAGTGTTCGCTTGTATTCCCTGAGACACAGTTTGGGAAGGTTGATCACCCTTCCTGGAGAATGTTTTTATTATTATTATTATTATTATTTTTAAGCTGTACATAGTAACATAGGTCATAGGCAATGGAAAGGTGTGGGGCGACCAACCATCTCAGTTTGCTCAGTAATGAGAGGCAGGGGATCCAGGGACATCGGGTTCTTAGTGCTAAAACCAGGAAACTCTTGGGCAAACTAAGACAAGCTGGTCACTTTATTCAGTGAATAAAATGAGTGTAGAATCATCCACAGGGCTGGCTTACCCAGATTGCGCTATCCAGATGTAGAGTTTTACATTGCCATGCTTCATTCAAAAAGGCAGATTATAGCTGAATTTGTGTCAGGCCTATTAGAAAGCCATGGAGTAAGTTACAGGATGTGTGGGGACTGTAAGAGAACTGGAAATATGTTCATTATTAATACCAGGGGTGCTTTTATCACACAGCTTCAAATGTACTTGGAAGACTAAAAAGTGATCAAACCTGTAATTTTTAGTGATATTTTACTTCATAGACCAGGGAGAGAAGCCATTTTGTTAATACAGAGTCTTTGTTTTAAATTTTCTCGCTGTTTCCTCAACGATGGTAGCAGAATATTGGCCTAGAGTCTTTAGCACAACAAAGCTGGGATGCTTTGGCATAGATGTGTCCTAACTCTATATTTTATTAGGTGTCTCTGAGACACCAGCTATAGCGGTGTTTTTCAAATTTGGTCAATGCACCACTTTCAACAAAAGGACCCGGGTGTTTGTTAAAAAATATAGCCATTCCTCAGACCTATAGAATCAGAATCTCCCCGGCTAGAGCCTGAGAATCTGCATTTTAAACAAGCTCTCCAGGTGATTCTTAAGCATGCTTACCTTTGACACCATGTAAAGTTTGCAAGACTTATTTCAAATTTTATTTGTTGTATAACAACAAACAGTATAATTATAGTAAAGGGAATTTTCAGAGAAGAAAAAAACCTTTAATCCATCCAATAATTATTTTTATGATGTTCTTTCTAATTGTCTATATACACACAATTTTTACACAATTATAATCACAATTATAATGCCCAATTTTGCATATATACAAATTTGCATTTCCTCAATATTTTATCATGAGCTGCTTTACATATCCTATAGCTTCACAAATAGATCACCTTCATGTTTGCCTAATATTGCTTAAGGCAGATGTGCCATAATTAATCGTATGAAAGGATTAGGGTTGCAAAGTTTTCCTGATGGTTTCAATAATTTTTCCTAGTAAATTTCAATGATGAAATTTCAGAGTGAGTTCTCTTGCAGGCCAGAGGGAGTAGGTATCTCTAAGCAGCCATTATTCCAGTGACATAGTCGGTTTTGATGTCATTTTAAAGGTCATTTTAGATCTGAGCACCAATTGGCTAGGGCAGGCAGGCTCATTCTAGGGGGAACTTTGGGTCACAATCTGAAGGATGATGAATAGAGCATGGTGTCCCTTCCTGCTTTGTGACCTCCCTTGCCTTTTGCTACTCATTCTTCATATCTCAGCTTAGAGCTCTCCCAGTTGTCTCCCAATGGCTGGCTT